GGGGGCTTGACAGAGTGTGTCTTACATGTATCTTATACTGTCTTGTTGAGATATCTTCTTAATGGAAAATACATTTTTCTGTTATAGAAATTGGATTATTTAACATACCTGGCAACATTTGATCATCTGTTTGATATTCCTAAAGACAAGAAGAATGCAGAATATAGAAGGTAACTTCTATTTTAAGCTGTTCAAATATTAAAGTGCTTATGTACCACAGAATGGTGCTCTATGTTTACCACATTTTACAGAGTATAAGTCCAGAGGGTGGGGCCGGGTTCCACAAAATCCGCTGAAATTTAAAGGGTAGGCAATAAGCTCAGGTAGGCCGGCTACAAAAAAGTCTGCTGAAAGGGGGCTTATAGTACAGCAATATCTCAACTATTCAATTTTAGTGAAATCATTGTAAAAATCTCTTAATTCAGCTTTTTGTAAAACATGCAGATTACAATCATTGATGGTGCTGTAACAACAGTTTAAAAAAAAATGTTAAAAACTCTGTAATGGTCAGTTCTATATTTTATTTTATTTTTTATTTATAACAAAAATAATGCTGCTGAACTCTGAGGGCAACATCTGGAAACTTTGCCAATGATAGCTTGATAGAATCCCATACGGAACTCAATGCAACATGATGTTATGGCAAATAATTTCCATTGACATTCCACACAAATAGCCACCAACTTTTGACAAATTGACATGCAGTCTGTCAGCCCTAATACGAAAACAAAAATCATTATTGTAGTGTTCATTTTTCTTCATATTTAGGTATCTTGATATGCTGATAGATTATTTGGGGAATTACTTGATTAGAATTCAACCCCTTGTAGACCTTCCTGAAGAGATGGACAATATTAAAGTCGAATTTGAGAAGCAGTGGGAGACGGGACAATTCCCAGGATGGCAGGTGAGAATCTGATCTTGGTTTTTACCATTTGGTTAGTTTGTGATATACACACACGTTATAAAGCTCCCGCATACATTAATGCAAAAATATTTAAAAATTTACACTAGTAGAAAGATGGCAATGACTATTGTTGGTTATTGGTAAACTGTAATCCAGTTTGCCTGGGTAAACCAGTTAACCTGATTCATCCAGTTAACAGAGTTAATACATTTAATCCCAATTCAGCAAGATAATTATTAAGTAACACTTATCATAATCGTGAAAAATGAAAAAGTCATTGCTAACTTTAATTCACTTGTATTTTTTTTTAATACACAGAAAGAAGCAAGTAGTGCCATGACTTACGCTGGTGCCCATTTGGACCTTTCCGCATTTTCTTCTCCGGAGGAGTTGGCATCCTTGGGTCTTGATCGATTAAAATCAGCCTTGATGGCGTTGAATTTAAAGTGTGGTGGAACTTTGGACCAACGGGCGCAGCGACTCTTCACAACGAAAGGGGTTCCGCTCAATCAGTTGGATCCCACTCTTTTTGCCAAGAGTAAATCTGGCAAAGGAGGAAAGAAGTAAGTTGTTTATTTTATACATGTATAAAAAATATATTTCATGTGCTTAATTTTTGAACATTTATCTTTCATGTTTATATTTTGTTTTGTATGTGTATACTATTTTTGTGATTTTAATTTGCCCCTTGTTATGTGGTGTTTATATTGTGACTTCCATTATTATTACCGTGTATACTCGCGTATAAGATGACCCCCGAGTTTAAGAAGGTTTTTGGATGATTTTTGTATGTTTGGCAAATAAGACGATCTCACGTTTCACTGTCAGAATTCATATTTTTTGCTGCTTTTTATGGTCTTGATGGCCAAATGTAGGGCTAATCTTCAAAATAATACAATTTTATGGGTTTTTTAAAATATTAATAAAAATCTTATTTCCCAGTATTTAAAATTGCGTTCATTTATATTAACTTTTAGAAGGTTAGTAAATTTGCATGTTACAGACGATCCCACATAAGACGAAGATGATTCAAAAGTCTAATATTTAGTACATCACAGGACGACCCCCTTTTTTTATCATAATTTGCTATTTTAAACCTTGTCTTATACGCCAGTATATACGGTATTCTCAAAGACTTTTGTATTTTTATTCATTATATCATATTTATTAAACCAATAAACATGTGTTTATCTTATTACAATTATAGAGATAGTGAAAAGCACAGAGATTTAGCTTTCCTGGAAGCTCAAGTCTATTACCTATCCGAACAACTCGGGGTAAGTGTCATCACAGGTTTAGAAAACTGTACACACTTGCACCCGATTTACATAAGAGAAATTTGTATACACGGCACATGCTATGATTAATTTCGCAAGGGTCTCCTGCTGTTTGTGTGAGGTGCATCTGTGTAAGATTATCACACATACGTTGAACTATCCCTGTAAGTTTTGGGCCCCTGGCCCGGGACTTTTAGATCTCAGCTTAGCAAATGTCTTAAGTTCAAAAAGTGCCCCTAAGCAAATATCTTTAGCTGACTTATCAAACCATTTTAGCAAAATCTTAGCTTAAAAATCGTCTTAGATGGCACATGCGTACGATCAACTTTTTAATTTTAAGCAATTTTTAAGCTAAGCAATATTGATAAATTTGACTTAAACAAAAAAATGGAATTAAGACCAATTTAAGCTGATTTCTAGTTTGATGAATCCAGCCCCTGGTGTTAGCCAGTGAGAGCCAATAGCTGTCACACCACTGTATTTGTACGATAGATTAGCTATATTTGTTGTTATATTGGTTGTTCATTACTGTTACAGGAACAACGGTTATCCACACGTGAAAACATTCAACGTAAGCAGGCTCGCACAGACGCTGAACGTGAAGATGATGAGGTTGAGCAGTATAGCGACAGCGAAAGTGATAACGAGGATGATGAAGTCATCTATAACCCAAAGAACCTACCACTAGGGTGGGATGGAAAGGTGAACAATTTTATATTTACAGTAATATGTAATAACTTCAGCCACCTGTAGGCTTCATGTCTAGGTATGGCATCTCTGAGAGTTGTGTTGAATTTGCGAAATGTTCATACATGAAGTTGTAAGTATGACAACAGTAGGTCCATCTTAATTCTAATTCCTTTCATTGACTTGCACCTGTTGAGTGAGTGTTGGGACACACGTTGCTTTGGTGATGCACCAGTTTGTGCATATACTCTTTTGATCATGGAGGAACAAGTCTTTTTTTTTGCACTGGGTTTGGTGTGGTTATAGATTTTTGTGGAATACGTATAACATGAATGTCAGTGCAATTCATAGTTTGATAAATTTAGAGTAAGATTTCGAACTTAATTGCATTAGTACAGTATATGTATTTATTACTTTTCTTTATCATTTTGTAGCCTATACCGTATTGGTTGTACAAGCTGCATGGTCTCAACATTAACTATTCATGTGAGATATGTGGTGAGCAGACCTATAGAGGTCCAAAAGCATTCCAGAGGCATTTTGCAGTAAGTCAAATATTTTACAGCAGAAATTTATTTTTAGTAAAAGTAAAAGAAATAAGGCTTCTTGAATTTGAACTTCATTTGTTTATATGCTCGTAGAAAGAATATTTATTTTTCTTTGCTTTTCCTTTTCACCTAATTTTCCCCTCGCTTTTCCGTAATCCTCTTTTCAGATAAAACCGGTAAATTTTTATGAGCATGTTTGATGGTGTGATAAACCCCACAACTCAATATTTTTACTCTCTCCCCTCAATACATGTACTGTTTAAAGTACTCTAGTCGAAATCAGTGTACCTCTGAATTAGCCTCAATGTATTTGTAGAGATTATTATATTTTAGAGATTAATTATTGCACCGCTTCCAATAGACCCATTCCGTGAGGTTGCTTACAGCCAGTCACATGACTTACAGTCAGTATAGCTATGCAGAAATTTTACAATGCAATCAGTGTGAAACTATAGGAAAGGGTAGTGTCATGGTTGCAAAAACAACCGCCCACCATTACCATGAGAAATAATTGGCAAAGAAAGGCACTAGGATTGTTCAAAATAGTGTTTATTTATTTATTCTAGTATTCACTGTGCTTTGTATGCTTTGGAATTAATGTGATCCTTCGTAAGCCTTAGCTAGTCGAGAAGTCTTATAACCATTTCACACTAGCAGAAAATATTACAACTTTTAACAAATATTAACAAGTTGTAAGTTTGATATTCCGAGATTTTTGGTTCGTTTCACACAAGCACTTTCAAACCATGAGAAACCAGAACATGTAAATAAAAAAAATGTAATGGTTCGCTTAAAAAAACCATTACCATTAAGACAAGCTTTCCTAATTAAAGTGTTTAAGCTGTTGCTTTTTTTATTTTTTTATAGCGTATTTATACTCTTTACATTAAAGTTAATATTGGTAGAAACTCTCATTGCTTTTCATTTTTGGTTACAGGAATGGCGTCACGCCCATGGTATGAGATGCTTAGGCATTCCAAATACAGCACATTTTGCTAATGTCACCAACATAGAAGATGCCCTTGCACGTAAGTTACTCACTCCCTATTCTTCTGCATGTGAAGCTGAGCTCACACTGCTTTGGCCAATGGTCAAGAAATGCATCTTCACTCTTTGTGAGCACTTGGCTATTTGTCTGTAGTATTCTGAGCGTAAAGTTATTGAATACCACGATCCGCTAACTCACTCACTACTGCCTATTATCAAGAGCTATTGGAAATGATGATGAAACTTGTACCATTTTGAGTACATTAAGTTAGAAAGTTGTATAGTATACAAATACACCATTGTTGGAGGTGAAGTAGTGAATTTTACTTCCAGAGGTGCTGTAAAATTTGGGCTACCTCCCAACGAGAATCATCCATCCACAAGGAAAGTAGAGTTCACCGTTTTATCGAAATAAAACCATGTTGTATTTGTTTTATTGTACCTCATAAATATGGAAGCATCAAACTGTTAATAATGTAGTACATGTGTTCATTTAGGCTCCGACTCCTGCATTTGCTGCTGATAAATTTTTATTTTTCATTTAATTTAGGTTTTTAGGTAATTTAGTTGTTACATGAATACATAGTCTTTACTTAACATATATTTCATTAAAGTATCCTCAAATAGTTTCTTGTTGGTATCTCATGACTTGTTGGTATAATTAGTATGTATCTGTTTTACTGCAGTGTGGGAAAAGTTGAAGTCATCCAAAACAGCAGAAAGGTTCCAAGCCGAAACCGAGGTTAGTAAGAAAATTTATAATAATAATAATAATAATAATAATAATAATAATGTTGTTGTTGTTGTTGTTATTAACAACATTTTAGAGACCTATGCGCTTAATATTACTGTATTATCCCTGGTCATTGGATGGAACACATACTCAGGTCCCTGGGGAGAATTCCATAATGTTGCAGCAGCACATTTTGTGTTTGAACCTACCAGGTACCCACTTGTACTCCTGGGTGGAGAGTAGAAAACCTTAGGTAAAGTGCCTTACCTAAGGACACAAGGTAAATGCACAGCCAGCGATTGAACCTCCGACCTCAAGGTTGAGAAGCAGAACCACAACCTCTGTGCCAAACTGCACCTATAGCTGAATTATGTTCCATTCATATTTACAGCTCATTAAATTCAAGTTTGGATGAATTGTTTCTATTTTTATTACAGGAAGAGTTTGAGGATTCTATTGGTAACGTTGTTAACAAGAAGACCTATGAAGATCTTAAGAGGCAGGGGTTGTTGTAAAGAGTGGGCAAGCAAAATGCATCACTGTATGATGTCAAAAGAGGCCTAAAGTGGTGGTTGTAAATATACACAAGTTAAATACAATGCTGACAAACACACAGGAGGGGAAGAAGTGAGATGGAGGCAGGGCATTTAGATGGGAGCACCATCTTTGTCTTGTTTTCAGGGGACAAATGTATCGATGAAGCTTAATATGTGTTTGCAAAGGAAAGTGAACATTGCAACACAAACATTTTTCTATATATGGTAATCGTTGGGGACTTGTATAGCACATAATACCGTAAAACCTGAAGCCCAGTTGCAAAAGTAGCCTCAAGAAGAAGCCCACCCCCAAAAAGCAGCCCATGGTCTTCTTTTCAAGATATCGTGGCTTCTTTTTGAGATAGTACAATACAAACACTGTACATGAATTTCAGAAAACATAATAAATTAAAAACAAGCTTGGCTTTATGCAGTAGTTTAGGCGATTAGTGCCATTTAAATACACTTCATGATATAAATTGATGTTACAGTGGCCTTATTTAATTATTTTATAGTACAAATTCACAAAATGTACATCATTCATTTTGAAAAGAAGCCCCCTCTTTACTTTGTAGAAGTAGCCCATCCAAAGTTCGGAAAAAAAAAAAAAGAAGCCTAGGGCTTCAATTCGAGGTTTTACGGTATATAACCTCAATGCGCTGTGGGGAAAACAAAAATAGCAAAATCTATCTTAGTGGGTCAACTTAAAGCTAATTATGCCAAAATAAAATAAGAAACAAACACAGAGGAACCAACACTATCGCACCGTTCACATTCAGAGACTACCCACAAGCAGTGGTTAGCTTGTACGTGACTCGCATGCGCTTGAATAGTGTTATTATCCGACCTAGTCTTCCCTAACAACAGGAAAGAAAGAAAAAGGTGTGATTTTAGTCTGCTTAAAAACAGAGACAACAATCGTCCCCATTGCAGAGCTTAGAAGCAACGACCCTGAAAGACCTCCCTCCATATTTTTAATTGGCATTACACATCACCTTTTCAGTCCAACTTTTTGGGAGAGTCTTGGCTAGTCACAGCTTTCTGTTAACTTAGGATCACTGAAACCTTCCTCAATTTTAAATACAAGCTGTGCTACTGTATTGCCATTTCAAAACAAAACAAAAAAAATATGTCTGTAGCACCAAAGTTAAAACGAGACTAAATGGCAACACATTGCATATTTAATCAAATTTATTATTGGGGCTGCAGAAATTTATTATATGGCAAGTCAACTGTGGCGGAGTAATTTTCTGTAAATAATCCTCCAATTTGAATGTCGAGATTGCAGTGTACTGGGTATGGGCCTAAATATAAATTCTGAAACAACAGCTCTGACCATAGTTCTGCTTTTAGTAACAGTGGCACATTCGTACCATATGTATTATCCTCTGCCCTGTCCAATATTATTCACTATTTGAGTAATTGGATGTACAGTTATCTGTTGGGAATTTCAAAACCGTGTTTGAACGATTTTCAATGTCTAGTATTTTGTAACAAGTCATTTATTATTCTGTACTTTTAGAATGAAACAATGAATAAACAAATGTAATGCTAATTGGCTATATGCAAACACTTGATTTTATTTCCAACAGTAATCTATTTGTCTACAAAACATAGCAAGTAATATATACAGAATGATCATTCTTTCCATTAATAAAAATGTACCAACACCGACATCAAGTACATTATGCTAAATAGCCAGACAAACCAGTGGCAGATCCAGAAATTCAAAATAAGAGGGGGGACTTTTACTGATGGAAACTCCACACCACCTCAGCCCCACCATGGTGGGGCTGCGTAAAGAAAATTTATGAATATGGGACTCTCACACCTAAATTTGGTTAAAATTTTCTCCTTTTCTCCATTTTTTTTTTAAACTTTGAAAAATTTAGGGGCCCCTTGAATCTGCCACTGCAAAAACCAACCTGTAGGAGTCTGACAATACCTAATACTTTAGCTAGTATTTACACAAAATAACCACAAAAAGGACAATTTATTAGAATATTTTCTGTAAAATATCAAATGAGAATGCCTGATCTCTTTTAAAAGGGTAAATTAAATTAGTGGGTTAAAATTTACTGCAAAATGTGTATAAAAAGATATAAAAAAAACAACAAAAATTTATGTACAGTTAAACTTGCCTAACTCAAATAATTTCCTAATCAATTTTATTTTACTGTATATGCCAAATTGTGTATTCCATTACAATCTCCAAGTCTAATAGTTTTTCAATGCCATTTTGGATTTGACATAGGCAAGTTCAACTGTATTTTGGGTTTTGAAATGTGCTGACATAATTGTTCTTCAATCAAATTTATCTATGATGGCCATATGAATGGTACTCTGCAAAAGTTGGTCAAATGTCGTAACTAGAGCCATAGCGCCAGGTTAGAATTTATGGGAACAAGACCTTTTTTCAATTTGCAAATAGATTATTGTCACATAACTGGGAACAATATCTGACCATTATTTGTTCTTAGTTCAGGCCTATAACGAGCACTTACAGCACCATGTCTCTCAAGATTACTAGTGGGCCTAGAGCAGTGTGTGTAGCAAAAGCTCCGTAATAAGATTTGCGAAAGAAATGCCAAAAAAATAGTGGGGGTTTTTTCCATTTGATTACTATTTACAATCATTAATCCTTCAGTGCTAAATACAGGTGTATTGATCTGGACAAAATATCTGCTTTGCAATAAGCATGCTTATGTTAATTCAATTTCGCTACTCTGATGGTATTGTGATCCAGACTCTGCACATTAACCATCAAGAACTTGATCACCAGTTAATGTGTAATGCAAGGATGTCTACAACTTGCTTGTGTTTACCACACACTCTCCATCAGTTGTAGATAAAGTTGAACCTATAGTGTGAACAAAGAAAAAAAAAATTTTTTAAGTTAAATCCCATAACCAAAGCAAAAAACTAAATAATATGCAAAAAGAGTTAAACTTGCCCAACTCGAATAATTTCTAAGTCGATCGAATTGTTGTGTTTACTGTTAATTAACAATCTGTAAGTCAAATTTTATACGAGTTACTGTTTTTTATAACAATTTTTCAATGCCATTTTGGATTAGACTTAGGCAAGTTCAACTGCATACAAATTGTTTTGTCCATAAAACACTTAGGTTAACAGATGTAACAAGCAAAGGAAGTGTATTGACCATAGTGAAGTTGATAGATTATTTAAGTCTACCCTTCTGTAGACTGTATTAAGGACCTATTATCATTATTTGGATTTAAGGAGTACGTATGTTTTTGTTCAAGGGGTTCTGTGCAAACCATTGTTAAAAAAATATATCCAGCATACATGTTAGTAGGTTCTACACTAATTCGCATGGCTATGTAGACCGACTATTTTGCATTCTAATATAGGTAAAGAAATAAATTTAAAATTAGGGATTTCTTTCAATTTAATGGTGTCCATCATCAAGTCCCCTGAATGTGGTCCCAATAATTTATAATTGATTCTAAATGTCAACAGCAAAGTTGTAAACATTGATAGTGCACTTCTTGTAAATTACAACTGCACCAAACACTCATTACAAGAAGATCATTGTATCTGTCAACATGTCTGATTGGTTTACCTGCTGAGGTTCTGTGGTAGGCTTGAGATGATTGGTCCATAGCCAGTGGCATTATCGTACAATTCGAACAGAGGGGCAGCAACTAGCTTGTAATTTCTTGGAACAGCAAATAAAGCTGCAGAAATAAAAATGTAAAATAATATACAGTATTTAATAATAAATATATTACCATATACTCACATATTAGACAAGGGTTACAATAGCAAATTACGATAAAAAAACGGGGCCGTTTTATACGCATAACATACAAGTTTTAGATTTTTAAATCATGTTTGTCTAATGTGCAGATTGTCCGTAACACGTGATTTACTACTGCAATGAAGCTAATAAATGTTAGTATGAATGCATGCAATTTTAAATACGGGGAAATAAGATTTTGATGAACATTTATTATAAACATTGAACATAAAATTGTAATATTTTAAAAATTAGCCTTGCATTTGGCTCTGTTTTTAGCCAGCTATATGCAGTATCAAGATCACAAAGAGCAGAAAAAAGTAGGTATTCCCACAATGAAACGGGGGGGGGGGGGGTGTCATATTATAAGCCCGACATAAAAAAATCGTCCAAATATTTCCTCATACTCTGGAGTCGTCTTACACGCGGGTCGCCCTATACGAGTGCGGTATTTATATAATAAAATATTTTTTTTTTAAAGGGTATTCATGGCAAAATTATTCTTAAGTTTCATTAGAAATTAGAAGAGAATTAATGATTTAAATTATGCACTTAATATTTTAAGTGGGATACCAATACCTTTTTCTTGTAGTTGCACTAAAAACAGTCGTTTGTGTTCCTTAGGTTTGGTTATATGTGCTGGAATATACGGGTACTAAAAGAAACAGAAATAGCTCAATTAATATTATCAAGAATTTATAACTATGTACGACACAGTAAAATTTTGTAAATATCATTTCCTAATCATGTTTTTATTTTATCTTACGGACTGAAAAATACTGTTGGTACTTATGTTTTGTCCACACTATCATATTTTATGTGCAAAATGTGTGTGATATGACCATATATGGGCATGATGATGTCATATTCTACATCCAAATATGAGCATGTCAAATTTATTTGTCACATAAATAGTGTGGACAAAGATTAAGGTATTAAACTTTCAATTGAAAATAATTCCTCACTAATTAAAGAGATGCATAAATGATACCATTTCTATATTCTATGCATCTACTCTTAAACTGGCTGACACACAAATCTGTAAAATCTCAATTTTCTGGATTTGTGTCTCATTGAAAAATTATAACCGAGATCTTCTTAACCGAGTAATTTGCAGAAGCAAGCAGAATTTATTCATCATGAACCAGAACATGCCATGTTTTCTTTAGCAGTACTTTAAAAATAGGCCTATATGGAATCATTTGTCCTTTTCAGATTTAAAAAATATGGGTTATATTTTACTCTACCTGAGGAGGTTCAAAATTAGGGCGCCACCAATTGCCTATCACATCCTCAATCACCCATTCTTGAGGTACACCATCTTGTCGGCCAAGTATCTATCCAATTAGAGACAGTAATAAGTCATTAGCATTGTAAATTAATAGTACAGTATATTAATATTTTAAAATCATGTAGCCCAGTGGTTAATTGAGCGATCGGGAATTGGAATGTGGGACTGACACTCGGCATTGGCACATGTATACTGTTTCCCTCCATGCAGGTAGTCAGTGTTACAACATGACAAATACAGGTTGAGAGAAGCCACTTCTAGGTCATCTAGTGTATTGGCAAGTTGAATGGCCGAGTGGTTAAGACAGGGGCACCACAATGTACAGTACGGTTCCGGTGGTAGAGCAAGTCTTCTCAGATAAGGACTATAAACCGTATGCCCAGCTTACACAATTTGGCTCATGTGCACTTTTTAAAGAACCCATTACATCTTTTGGGATGATTAGGGGGTTACCCCGGTGTACTGGTTCATACAGCCCCGGTTGTGGACAGAGGAGAGATAGCTTAGGCACGAAGAGACCCTTAGGAGAGAAGCAAGTTATTGAACAAGCTAGTCCACACCTTGAGTGCTTTGAGACTTCGGTATAAAGCACTATATAAAATCCACTTACATTACATTACATTGAGCTTCCTTGCATTTATCTATTTTGCTGCGTGACATACACATAACCAGCTATCTTCCAGGGGACAATTTGCTAGTGGAATAGCACGCATGTGGCAATTCATATGGGATCCTGTGGCCCTTACACATTCTAAGTTGAATTGCAATTGAATTTGAACAAAGTACATGTATTTGATGTGTCAACAAAAAACACAAGTTACACAAGAAAGCTACATGAGAAAAATGCTGGTAATAGTAAGTTTATGTTATGGACAACATAGATACTGTAGCATTCTTCTTTACAGGTATACAGGATTTACCTCTGTCAGTAAGCGTTTCAGGCCTTCCACTTCATTCTCACCTGGATTTAACTCACCACCTGGTCTATAGAAGTTGGAAAAAACATAATTAGTAAACTACATGTTAATATAAATATAAATAGATAAATAATTAATCTTCTCTTTTATTATCATTTCTTTCTATTATTAACATTAAATTGTCTATACTGTATTGGTACTGTATATTGATATTTGATATTTAAGTGCAGTAAAGATGAAATCAACTTACAATTTAAAGAATGTTGTGCCTAATTGCAAAAGTAGTACGTGTGGTAAGCCATGCTCATGAACAATAAGCACGCCTTCAACAGACCGTCTCGTCCCCATTTTATTGAACTCATCCCGCATCCGCGCAAACCTCTTCGCCACTGATGGGTCTTTTTCATACAGAGGATCCTTGGTCCCAAATGTGTAGTTTGTTAGAGGATATCTGAAATATGTAGCAAGCAAACATCAATAGACTTGGCCTAACAAACATTCATTGTTCTAACATATTTTTGATAAAATATCAATACAGGTGTACTACTAATAATAGGCATAGGGAATATAGGTACAGCAGGCTAGTGTTGATGTGTGCCATGCTATTCTGATTAAGGAATACTTTAATATAGTTTCGTCAGGTTTTGCATAGGCCAGGCCTCTCTATTCTATATAGGCTAGTCTCTACCTACACACAAAGGCATCCCAGCCACACAACACACATTAGGCCTATTTGTATTTAAATTATTTTCAGCCTCTAAACCAACAAGTAGGCCTATCAACACATGTAGGGCCAGCCTAAGCCTAATGCAGATATCATTGATTTATATGATGTTCTACAGGCAGCTTATCATTAAATGGCTAGGCCTAGCTAGCCTAGTGTTTAGGGCCTAGGATAGCTAGGCTAGTAGTAGCCTAGTACTATATATAGCTTAGAGTGCTGCCTATATAGGCTCCATTTCGAATGGCAATTATTATGTAATTAAAAATAGGTCTATCTAGTTTAGGCCAGGGAGTGCTGTAGTTATCGCCTAATGAACAAGTATCCTTCCTCAAGCTAGGCCTAGGCTACGTAGGCCTGCGGCTAGTTTAGGTCTTCTATTCTACAACTAGGCCTACGAGGGGCCTAGACTCTAGGCCCTCTAGGCTAGCTCCTCTTCGAGATGACAAGAAATCGTCTTAAAGAATTAATATCCTGACTACTAAATGATTTAAAGACTCAAGAGTTAAAGTAAACACAACTCACAGATGTGTTGTTCTTTCCAAGGGTCCTCCACCTCCAATAACATTGTACTTTTGGTTGTAATCCCTACTTTTAGGCCAACCTTTATTAGACCCACGCGGAGTTGTCGCCATTTTTGTTCCTGTTTGTTTGCAACTACGATGTATGGTGGCGCTATTTTAATACCTGGCACTAAATTTACAGTTCACTCAAAAATAAAACTTGGTCCTCATGTTCTGATTTGTAAGCTATAAACATGAATGATATGATAATGTTTACTATCTTGATGTGAATATAGCTGTGCCATACAACACACAGAGGTTGGTATCACTAGAGATCAAACACAATTTATAATTACAGTAGGCCTATTCAGTCGAGCCTAAATAGATCTTGTTGTACACAGTGCGGAACCAATCGTTACCGTACTCATTCTATGTTGAAATAAACACAAATAATAGTAAAAAGAAAATAATTGGAAATGTATTTTGTATAATCAATTTTTATATTAAAAATTATAACGAAAATATTGTTTAATTGCCAGTTAACAGAGGCACATGTAATATCAGGGAACAGTGAAATTTAACTGTTCCATGGTAATATATACTGCAGTATTATTTTATATATACTCTTAAATTGACAGTTGAAATTCACATGACCCTTAGCAAGATCAAGAAAGCGATTCTTGGTAGGAGAATTACTTTATTATATATTTTTTTTCTTTCTTATTTTATTTATGTTTTTTTTTACGAACAGTTACGTCACACCGTTTCCAACTAAAGGCAAGGACAATAAGCTGAATTGTTGCAAATTTCTGTCTCTACACATTGATAATATGTTTGAGGATGAGCCGCAATTTAACTCTTTTTTTTTTCTTTTTTTTTTTTATAGATTTTCACCCTATACAATAGTGATGGTCAATGGTCATACAGTATATTTATATGGCGCCTTCCACAGAAAACCGTCTCAAGGCGCTTTTGAAGCCACAAGAAACGAAGACAAAGGAACGCGAAAGGGGGGGGGGGGTGCGCACCCCCGATTTTGAGATAGCGTCGCCATAACTACCGTGTACACGCAGGTACCTCGGCGTCAGTTTGCTGGGATTCTATAGCTTCCACCAAGGATAAGCCTATGGCTCCCCTACCGTGCACTGCTAAGTTGGAGGTGTGACTTTTCAGGGTAAAAAAGAAGTTAACTACAGAACAACTTAACTACAGAAATTTAACAACAGAACAATATATACGATATAACTACGCCATTTCTAAAAAGACAGCGTGTTATTACCTATATTTTGCAAATTTTGAATTACCTGCATTTGCTTCTCGGTGCTGCTGTTGAGATAACCTGGGTTAAAAAAAAAAGAACCTAATTTTTCATGAATTGTACACGGCTTTATATAGGCTATTTGTTGTATTGTTACATTTTATCGGTTGCTTGCATGATTTTCCTCGCTCAAAAACTAGGTCTTTGAAAAGTTCGAACTTGATCAAAAATGGACCTACAGAGGGCATATACTTGTCGTCACTTGTTACTTTTTGTCGGTTACTTGCATCGCTTTTTCTCGCTCTTGTAGGCCTCTGGAAAGGTAAAGCTTGATGGACTTTTCCACTAAGCCCCGCCCCTTGGATACTGTTGCTAAGATACCACAAAACGACAATGTAAAAACATAAAAACTCTTTTAGGCCAACCTTTATTAGACCCACGCGGAGTTGTCGCCATTTTTGTTCCTGTTTGTTTGCAACTACGATGTATGGTGGCGCTATTTTAATACCTGGCACTAAATTTACAGTTCACTCAAAAATAAAACTTGGTCCTCATGTTCTGATTTGTAAGCTATAAACATGAATGATATGATAATGTTTACTATCTTGATGTGAATATAGCTGTGCCATACAACACACAGAGGTTGGTATCACTAGAGATCAAACAAAATTTATAATTACAGTAGGCCTATTCAGTCGAGCCTAAATAGATCTTGTTGTACACAATGCGGAACCAATCGTTACCGTACTCATTCACAAACACTCAAACACAAATAATAGTAAAAAGAAAATAATTGGAAATGTATTTTGTATAATCAATTTTTATATTAAAAATTATAACGAAAATATTGTTTAATTGCCAGTTAACAGAGGCACATGTAATATCAGGGAACAGTGAAATTTAACTGTTCCCTGGTAATATATACTGCAGTATTATTTTATATAATACACTTAAATTGACAGTTGAAATTCACATGACACTTAGCAAGATCAAGAAAGCGATTATTGGTAGAAGGATTACTTTATTATATATATTTTTTTTCTTTCTTATTTTATTTATGTTCTTGTTTACGAACAGTTACGTCACACCGTTTCCAACTGAAGGCAAGGACAATCAGCTGAAATGTTGCAAATTTCTGTCTCTTCACATTGGTAATATGTTTGAGGATGAGCCGCAATTTAATTAATTTAATTGCTGAAGAATTTCTATCTCTTTTTTTTCTTTTTTTATAGGTTTTTCACCCTATACAATAATGATGGTCAATGGTCATACAGTATATTTATATGGCGCCTTCCACAGAAAACCGTCTCAAGGCGCTTTTGAAGCCACAAGAAACGAAGACAAAGGAACGCGAAAGGGTTTATTTATTCTGTAGGCCTACTTACAAAATTTGGACGAATGACCGACTACCGTATCTTCTGTAGACCTCTTTTAATTTATGTCGATGGGACTTTGGTTAAATTTGCGGCCTTGGAATATTGGACGGGGACCTGATCTATTTAATGTGTTGACAATATCAACATTCACGTAAACACTTCACATTAAACAATGGAGTGAGTGTAGACCCCCTTAGACCTCGTTAAATCCTCAATAAAATTTAAACATTAAATTTCTCTAATTACAGTAAATGGATATTTCGTCCTGTTGGACTCTCGTCGAAATGTGAAATACAAATAAATAGATGGAAATTATCAAAAGTTCCTAACTTCCAGCGAAAAATATTCGAACAGAAGTTATAAACATACTTTTATTATATATATATTTTTTAATTTAATAATTTAAGTTCTTGATGAAGATACTATTTTTTATAGGCCTATCTATACCGTAATATTTTCTTTAAAATAATACAAGGCCTATAATCAATTTACCTTGTAGACTACAGTACATAGTGTATTTGGCGAAATCTTACCATATACAAATTCCATTACTACACTGAGTATTTATTTCGTTAGCTGCATTGATCACAATATAACTGTTAATTAAAAGTATGGTCACTTTTATAGTAATTTGTTATTCCATGGATAGAACCAAGTCTTTCTCGCACACGTGCCATTATTAGGCCGCATGTTCCAACAAGTTATGCCACGAAATCGATATTATGCTCTCACATGTAGGCCTATCAAGTTTATAATCGTCACTATAGAAACCAAGCAAGCAGAATAATTCCTTCACCTAGGGATAGCTGACTAGCCTTGACCTAATCATCACCAGGGTGGTCCTCTTCTACCTGCTGTCGCATTAAGCATTTTTGTACAGGCCCACTTCAAGCGTGAAATCTTGCGTAAACAAAGCGTGCTTCACGCGTGTGCCACACCCCTGCGGTACATTTCCTGGTGATAAACGGCTGACGGGATTGGACATGATAGTTAACTACATCTCGATTGGCTTGTTTTCGAGCTTAGTAATAATTCACCGGTGATTAGAGCTTGCTGTGTTACCTGTGCGATGACGGATGGTGCCGAGTGACTGCGAATTCAACCCAAATAAGGAAGTGTTGCAAAACACTTGTACATAACTTACGAGAGTTAAAGTAAGTCATAAAATATAGGCCTATTCGTGGTAATCAAAAATTATAGGCCCAATCCCATAACGTTTGTGCACATTTTTCACCGTTTGTGACGGACTATCCGTTATTCTAAACTTTCAAAGTCCTGCTTCTAAACAAAAAATCACTGTGCTCATCACGAATTGAACCAATAAGCACGTACTTTAACTATCTTTCTGTATTCTCAGATCTAAAGGAATATGCTGCATCGACTAATGGAAAGATAGTGATCGGGGCTCCTAATGCAGTACGGTATGTTTTTCAACGATTAACAAGGACTCTCAGTTTTGCACTGCTGACTCTCAGTTTTGCGCTGCTGCCAATTTATTTTGTCCTTTTGGCGTTCCATAAAGGAATGGTTTTTTTTTTTTTTTTTTTTTTTTTAATGCTGAACAATATAAGAGACTAATTAATTTACATTTTTTTTT